CAGCATGGGTGCTCAGTCCCCTTTAGAGGTGCTGAAGTATACATAGCCGGGTGTTACTTTAGGCCATTCTTTCTTTTTTCTCTTTTTTCACCTTCCTTCCTTTGTTCCTTCCATCCTTACTTTTTGTGTTATAAGGAACCCATAGCCTTTGCACTGAGCTGCATCTCCAGCCCTTAAAATATATTTTTTGTTTTTCATCTTTCTTTTTTTGTACTGGGGATCGAATTCAGGTCCTTGCTCTGTGAAGCAGGCGGCAGAACCACTGAGCTACATCTCCGGCCCTATATTGTTTTATTCTGACATAGGACTTTACTATAAGTTGCCCAGGCTGGGCTTGAACTTGCAGTCCTCTGGCCTCAGTCTTCCAAAGTGTTTGGATTACAGGCATGTGCCATCATGCCCAGGAGGCCAGTCGTTTCCATTAAAAAATATTTATTTCTAATAAAAGCTTTTTTTTTTTTTGGTACCAGAGATCGAACTCGCTTGGGTCTTAGCACTTGCAAGGCAGGTGGTGGCACCACTAAGCTAAATCCCCAGCCCTATAATTCAGTGGTTACACATTTTGATTGAATAAATGTAAAGATGCATCCCATAATACTTCTATAAATGTAAGTGCTCTCATTCTCTCTTCTTGTATGTATATTGGATACCTTTCTAAGGCATTGAAATTATTATTTTACTTGCATTTGCTTTCACCACTGTTATAGGTGCCCCTTGCTATAGGTGGAGGATTAGGGATTCCAGAGGCTGCTGGTGAGCAGAATGGCAGTGTTTGCTGTGTGTAATACACGGCCCCCTGTGCAGTTTGAACAGTCTCCAGATTACTTAGCACACCTGAGATGATACATTACCCTGTCAGGAGTCGTGATCCTTGTCACTGCGGGAACAGTGACAAGGGAAAGTAACTTTGAGTCAGTCACTTTTTCATGACTGTGTAGTCTGAAGCTGGCTGGGTCCATGGATGCAGATCACAGAGAGAGCGGGGCTGTCTTATTGTTTACTGTTGAGACGATTGCTTTATTGATGAAATCCCATGTGTTTCTGTGTAAGGGCTGACAGAGTTACTTGTTTTGTTTTACATTTAGTTATTTACTTATTTGTTTGTCTAACTTTTGGTTTTCTGAGGCAGGGTCTCACTATGTAGTCCAGGCTGGCCTTGACCTTCTTATTACTGTGTAGTGCAGGCCGGCCTCGAATTTATGGTGATCCTTCTGCCTCAGCCTCCCGAGGGCTGGGATTACAGGCGGTGCCACCACTCGGCCCTGACAGATTCATAATACCAGCCCTCTGCAGCCCTGTGCCACTGACAAGCTGAAGGCTGAATTCCTGTACTGAAAGCAATGCGGAGGGTGTGAGAATCAAACTGAAGCGGAGGAAGCTTGCTTCACTCGAGCTTCCCAGCAGCCATGGCAAAAGTAAAAATGAAAGGGGTCGTGGAGCTCTTGAACTTCAGGAGAGGAAATGAGCCAGATTCTCAGAATGCATGCACTTTCCCAGTTTTGACCTCAGAGAGGCTGAGTCGGGGGACCTTGGGTAATGAACAGTGTTGTGCAAGGGATGGTTTCACTGGAAGATGCAGAACCTGCCAGGGATTGGCCACGCGTCACACCGGCTCTTCCTAACTGCTGAGGGTGTGTGGATAAACTAGTTCTGGGAAGGCATATTTTTGTGGGCAGCCTGAGTAACACGGTCTGAGTGTGATGTTTTTCTGCTGAAAAGTGTCACACTTGCGAGAGATTCAATAAATACGTATCAATAGTGTGGCTTTCATGCTGTGCTTTGTGCCAGGAATCTCATTTAATTGTCTTTAAGATGGAGGCAGAGTTTGTTAGTGCCGTTTTGGGCCAGGCGTGGTGCTGCACACCTATAATCCCAGCACTCAGGAAACTGAGGCAGAAAGAACATTGAGAGTTTGAGGCCAGCCAGGGCTACATAGTGAGAGTTCAAGACCAGCCTTCGGTAAGGGATTTAGCTTAGTGGTGCTGCCACCTGCCTCGCAAACGCAGGGTCCCGAATTTGATATCTGGTACCAAAAAGAAAAGAACAGTCTGAACTACATAGTGAAACCCTGTCTCATAAACAATAAATAAATAAAAACAAATAAAGTGCTGTTTTACAGAGGAGGAAACTGAGGCCAGGGAGATTGACTTATCCAAGGTTACACACTCAAGTGGCTGAACCTAAATCTATTACCTTTTCCTTCCGATGGTGCTCTGTTAGAGAGGAGGGCAGTTATAGCCCCACCATGCACCAGAGCTGGCTCTTTTACGTCCTGGGTGTAACCCATCTGTGCAGAAAACCCTACAGGCCCACAGGCGTAGCTTGCGTGACAGACAGGACTGGCGAGGGCTAAGCTTAGAAGGGTAGTAAGAGGGCAGGAGCCAAGCACGGCTGCTACCCTGGCTTTGGTTGGTGGCACTGTGGGCCGTGCAAGGATTCACTCACATTTGTACCTATTTGTATTTTTCTGGGTGAGAAGAGAAGGGGTAAACTTTCATGCAGTCTCAAAACAAAAAATAAAAATAAAAAAACCAGCCCAGACCACAAACAGCAAAATACAGACCCCGAGCTCAGGAAGGGATCATAATAGTTCATGTTGGCTGCGCCCCAGCTAGGGGCCAGTCACCCTGGTGGGCCTGTAGGTGCGGCCATTCCTGGGAGGTCAGGGTGCATCCCATGCACCTTACCGTTGCTCAGCCACTGTCCCTGTGTGGTGTCAGTTTTGCTTCTCTACCACTGCCTCTCATAGCTGATTTCCCCCAGCATTTAGTACATTTTCCTTGTTTTTTCTTTTCTTTTCTTTTTTTAGACTGGGTCTTCTTGTGTAGTTCAGGCTGCCTTTGAACTCACGTATAGTCCAGGCTGGCCTCACACTTGCAGTGATCTGCCTGCCTCAGCCTCCCAGGTGTTGGGATTATAGGCCTGCACCACCATGTCTGGCAGCAGATAGTAGTTTTTGCTCCTTTTTTGTGGAACTGACAATTATGAAAAGACAGCGATATACTGTACTTCGAGAGGCTCGGTGCCAGATCACTTCTGTCCCCATCCCGGAATAAGAATGGTTCGTTAAGAGAGTGAATGAACGATTGGGTGAATGGGTAAGTGTAGAAGAAAGACGCACTTCTTCCTCGTGTTGTAACAGTGACGACCACAGTGTGTCAGCTCTTAGTGGTGTAGCAAGATCAGGCCAAGAAGAATCGAGAACACACCCCAAGGTTGGAGGCAAGTTTACCATGCCGGCGGACTTATCGGGGATTTCTCCACAAATGATCAGCCCGGAGCTGGCAGTGAACAGGGCTTATATGGGTTAGAGGAAGGAGGGTGGGGACACAGAGGCAAGACATTTATCATCAGTTTGTTGGTTGAGGAAATTACATTTAGTTTACATGATTTGATGGAAAAGTACACTGGACACAGACACTTCCCGAGAGCAAAGGACAGTGAAGGAGGAGGATGTGTGTTGGTGTGGGAGGGGGTGTGATCTGGGGGTGGCTCTCAGTCAGTAGGGTCAGCCAGCCGCAGGAAAATCCTTTTTTGCCCAGAAATCATTTTCCGGCTCACTGCTGTGGGTCACCCAGAGATGGATCCATCTCTGACGGCTCCTTGTCATGTTAGAGAGAAGTCTTGGGGAGGCTGAGACTGGCCCTGATGTTGATGGCCAGACAGGATCTGCGTGACCACACAGGAGGCCACATCCTGCCTGTCTGGTGGGCAGTGGGTGTGAGAGGCAGGTGCCCTGGCTGCTCTCCGCCCCGCCATGTCACATTCCACAGTTTGTGGCAGGGCCGGCAGGGCCAGGAGTGTCTTGTACCTGGGCATGGCTTGCTCCTCAGTGTAGCCCACGGGTGGGGCTGCAGTTATGAGCATCAGCAGCCCCATCTCGCAGGCTCACGTACTTCAGGTAACTTGGGGCCCCTGGAGAGTCGTGGACCCGGAACCTGGGCCTAGCTGTGACTGGCTCCAAAGCTGCATCCTCACATTTACGTGCCACAGGGAAGCCTCTGGAAGGTCAGCCACGCACTGGAGGCCCCCAAATCCTGTGTAGCTCCACACCCACCCCACCCCTGGGAGCTGGTGTGTGGGTCAGGGTAAGGGCTGCTTTCCCGTTTGAAGGGAGCTGGTTCAACTGCGGGGCTGAGAGCTGGAAGCTGGGAGGTGCTCTGGGGGTGTCTTGAAGTGTGCGATGTGTCCCCCATTTGGGAAAGGTGAGCAGGCATCTTTGCACATGGACAGGAGCCTGAGTGTGTCATAAGGAAGTGAAGATGAGACGGAGGCTGAGCCAGGGAGCGAGGACCCTGAGTTACGACCTGCTGTACTTTTTACTAGACTTGTCCTTTTCTGGCCCCTGTACTTGGCTAGGCTGGGAGCCCTCCAGGGTCTTAGGACTGGTGGTTCTCCCGAGGCCTTCTACCCATTAGGTGTGCAGTAGGTATATGATGGGTGGATGAGTGAATGAACGAGTAAGTGAATGAACGAATGTCCTAGGGGTTAAGACACCTCCTTTGCAGTCCAGGACCTTCCATCAAATAATCTGTGGCCTTGGCCAGCCCCACCCCCTTTTTGAGCCTCAGTTTCCCCATCTGAACTTACCTTTAAGACCTGAATGCTCTGAGGCTCCGAGGCAATGAGGGCTTTGGCTCTGGAAGGTGGAGAGGAGAAGAAACTGTGAGGGTTCTGTGTGGTCACCTTGGACAGGGTGGGGAAGGCGTGGCCACAGCATGGGAGGCAGGGCAGTGGCAGGGGGGCGGGAGGGGGGGGGGGCTGACAGGGAGGCCCTTGCTGAAGCTTGGGCTTCCCCAGCAGCTTGGTTTTTGTTTTCTGGAAAAATGAAGCGGCCAGGTGACTGTCCTGGTGTCAGAGCCACCTGTGAGGTTGGGGACAGATTGGCAGGGGGAGGAGGGGACAGGCTGGCTCTGGGGCGCTGAGACACTGGTGGGTGGGGTCTCTCCCTCTCGAGCAGGGCACCCTGCTCATCTCACTCGGCCTTCTGTTTCCTGCAGATCATGATTGAGTTCTGCCCTGGCGGAGCTGTGGACGCCATCATGCTGGGTGAGTATTCCTCCGGCCAGAGCACTGCTGGGGACGGAAGGATATGCCCTGAGTCCTAAAGCAGACTCTGGACGGTTCCTGCTCCTCCACGGCAGTGAGTCTGTGGCCTTCTCGAGCACATCTCTGCTCTGTCCCCCAAAGGGTAGGCTCTTCGAAAGATCGCTGAGCTGTCTTTGGAAGACCAGCCCTTCCATTCGAAGGCCACGGGTCCTCCCCCGGTCACTCACCCTCTCAAGCCTTCTTGGCTATCAGATGGGTGTGACACCTCATTTGCCTGACCACTCAGCACACTTAGGATCGAATGAGACGCTTGAGGGGACCTTCTGTGTGTGTGCAGTACTGGGATCGAACCCTGGGCTGTTCTGCCACTGAACTATATCCTCGCTCCTTCTGTTCTTTATTTTGAGACATGCCCTCACTAAATTGTCCAGGCTAACCTTAAACTCAGGATCCTCCTGCCTCAGCCTTCCAAATAGTTGGGATTACAGGAGTGTGCCACCACATCTGACAGGGAGTTTCTTTGAAAAGTGGGACACTGGCTGTCTTCATCCTTTTCTGCCGCTATACAAAACACTCGAGCCTGGAGAGTATTCGTAAAGAACAGAGATTAATGTGGCTCATGGAGGCTGGGAAATCCAAAAGCGAGGTGCCAGTGTCTGGTGCAGACTTCTTGCTATGCCATCCGTGGTGGAAGGCAGAAGGCAGAAGGGCAAGAGAGAAGGGAAGCTGCAGTGATCCTCTCGTTAGGAACCCACCTCCAGGGTAACCATTACAGTGCCATTGATCCTTTCATGAGGGCAGAGCAGTCACCTCCCAGAATCCCACCTATCAATACTGGTGCATCGGGACCAAGTTTCCAATTCGTGTCTTTTGGGGATACATCTGAGCCGCAGCACCCACCCATTTTGAAAATACTCTATAATGTTATTAGGTCTCGATATCCCGGGCAAGCTTGAACAATACCACCACCACCAGTGACAATAGGGTATTAGTAATAACCATTGTTTCTGGTCTTAGTCCATTTCCTATTGCAAAAACAAAGCACCCAAGGCAGGGGACTTTATAAAGAATAAAGGTTTATGTAGCTCACAGGTCTGGAGGCCGAAAGTCCATCTGTTTGGTGTCTGGTGAGGGCTGCATGGAGCGTGGCTTCACCATGCGGGGAGACTGTGCAGAGGAGAGCACACGGTGAGACAGGAAGCCAGAGAGATTCAGAGGGCAGCCTTGCTCTTCCCATAACATCCGGCTCTTATGAGAACCAGCTCACTCTTTCAGACGAGAGTTTATCCCCTTGTGGGCATTGCCCCTAATTACCGGTGCTAGGTCCCAACTCTTAGGGTTCTATTACCTGAACACAGCCACACCGAGGGCCAAGCTTTCCAGCCATGATTCTCATATCACATCCAAAGCACAGCTTTGTGAGCAGTCGCTGTGTCAGTGTTTTTGCATAAAATATCCTCATTTAATCTCAAGTGTAGAATCAGAAAGAGCATCTCTCTGTTATCTTCTTCTTCCTCTTCCTCCTCCTCCTCCTCCTTTTCTTCTTCCTCTTCTTTCTTCTTCTTTTTTTTCAAGTACTGAGGATTATTAAACCCAGGGTCTTTGCCCTGAGCTATATTTCCAGCCCTTCCTTTATTTTTTATTTTGAGGCAGGGTCTCCCTAAGTCAGTAAGTTTCAGGGCTAGCTTGAACTATAGATCCTCCTACCTCAGCCTTCCTGAGTGCTGGCGTTACAGGCATGTGCCACTGGCTATGTTTTACTCTTAATCTGACTGACATAGAGGTTGAAGAGGAGCTTGCCCTGTTGCAGAGTGGAACTGAGATGCAAACCCCGGTCTGGGTGACCCTCGCTCCTCAACACTGCCCGTCCTGTATCGCCCTCTGCTCACGCCAGTCCTCAGGACAGTGAGAGGGGAGTGGCCGTGGGCTAGGTCCCCGGGAGGTGAATGGCGGGCCTGGGCTTGTGGAATGGCTCGGGGAAGAATGGTCCGGCATGGTACCGTGTGAAGGTGGTCCGTCGGTCCAGGCCTACCCCACTCCCCATTATCTCAGGGCTGTTTCACACCTGTAGAACATCCGCATCGGGAGCCGTAGAAATGCTGGACCCACAGCCCTTCCTTGCAGAGCCCTACAGTAGTCAGTTTTCTGTTACTGTAACAAATACTGAAGAAAATAAAAGAGGAATCTGTGTTACAGTTTTGGAGGTTTCAGTTCCTGGTCTTTTGGTCCCATTGCTTTGGGAGAGAAAAACAGGAAGAGACCAGCACCCACCCTCCCCTTCAAGGATGCACCCCCAGTGACCTAAGCCTCCCACAAGGCCTCACCCCTAAAAGGGTCTACCGTGTCCCAAAGTGCTAAGCTGAGGACCAACCTTTACCACGCAGGCCTTCAAGGAATGTTCCAGAGTCCACTGCAGAGCCCCCGACCACTCCCGAAGCTCAGGCAGTGAGAAGCTGCTCTGGAATCACCTGACAAGGAAGGAGCCATATCCCAGTTGCAGCTCTGTCCCTGGGGTTGCCTCCCTCAGACACCTGCCCTGCCTAGGGGCTTTCTGCCCCTCCTTCACCTTTCCATTGTCCTACACGGTTGGGAACACTTAGCAGCCTGGTCTGGGGCTGTGGAGATCTGGGGTCCATTTCCAATTGTCTGTTTCTAGCTGTGGGATGCTGAGCCATCCCTCTTGTGAGAAGGGGAAAACTCCATGTGACTGGTCACTGTACGGCCTTTCTAGTCTAACGCCTAGTGTCTGCTTAGATGGGAAGGGACATGATTGGCCACCTCTTGCCTGCTGTTAAATGTTGGTCTCTAAACCCAGTCTAGTGCAAGGGTCAGGACTCGGATTGGATGTGGTGTCAGAAGGGACTGAGACTCAGCTGGGATTCGCACGTGGTAGGCGAATACTCTACCCTACCACAAGTCACACCAGAGCCCTTTCTTTAAAATTCACAAGTTACTCAGCTAGCCTCAAATTCTCAATCTTCCCGCCCCAGCATCTGAGAGACTAGAATTACAACCACCACACCTGGTTGATACAATTAAAAAAAAAAAAAAAAGTAGAAGGTATTCATGTAATGCTCTGTAATTAAAAACTATTTTTAAAAATGTACTTGAATGACTTTGTATAGTGTGAGTGCAGTTTTATGGCATTCTAGGGAAAGGCAAAAACAATAGGGACAACTCAGAACTCAATGCTTAGAGGCTGAAGATAGGGGAAAGTTTGACTATGAAAGGCATGGGAGAATTTGGAAAATGATGAAACTATTCTGGCCCCAGGTGATGGGGTTACGTGACTGTAAAAATTTACAGAGCCGTACATCCAAATAAAACTGGATTTTATCATCTGTAAATTGTACTTCAATAAACCTGAGGTTGAGGAATGTGTCACACCACTGCCGTGTGGGTAGTGTGAAATGAAATGATGCACTAGTCCTTAGTCTAATGTCTGACACATTATAAGGGCTCAGAAATGATGGTGATTGGATCATAATTATCTTTAGCATCATCATTATTACTTCTATTGTTTATCTTTCATTTATGCCAGCAAATCAGACATGAATAAGTCACATTTGTAACATGTTTAAAAACTGCTAATATTCCATCCCTGGACTCATTTCAGAAACAGCATATCCATGTTTTTCTGAGACAAGGTCTCTCTGTGTAGGCTGGCTTTGAACTCACAGTGATCCTCTTGCTTTAGGCTCTTAAGTGTTGGGATTACAGGTGTGCACCGCCACGCCTGGCCTCAGTAATCACTTTTTATTGCCTATTTGACACCTGAAAAGTTAACATACTTTGTGCAAAGAGCCCTGCCTACATAAGTAATCATCCCATCTCCCATCTATAGACCAGGAAGTGAAAGTCCAGAGAGTTTGAGCCATCTGTCAGGAATCACATAGCTATGCAGGGCAGGACCTGGGTTCCGGCTCCAGCCGAGAACACAGAGGTTAAGGATGAGGCCATACAGGAAGGAGCAGCTTGCGGAACCCACAGAGAGAGGCTCCAGTCCAGGGGCCCTGCTCTGGGGCCCGGCTTCTCAGACCAGTGTAGCCAGTGCCTGCAGCCCTGGCTCCCAAGGGACCCGGTGGAGGTTTGGACTTTGTGGATTCCTGGCCACTGGGAGAGATAGACACAGACATTTCCTCACCACCAGTTCTCGTCTGCCTGTAGACTCTGCTTCTGCTGGTCTTGACCCGGGATGCCCTTGTCCCACTTTCTCTCCTCTCTCCCCTCAAGTCATAGCTTAAGTATCTGAGCACCCTTCACCATGTTCATGTCCCTGTCTGCATCCCTGCACCAGGCACGGAGCCCGACATCCGTTAAGGGGCTGCAAGTTTAACTGTGTCCCCCACAGTTCATGTGTTCAGAACTTAATTCTCAGGCTCACAGGTTAATGGCATTTGGAGGTAACCCTTTGGGAGGTGATTAGGATTCAATGAGGTCATGAGACTAGGGCCCCGATGACGGGATTAGTGGCTTTATAAGAAGAGACAGGGTCAGAGATTTAGTTCAGTGGCAGTGCACCTGTCTGGCAAGTGTAAGGTCCTGAGTTTGATCCCCAGTAACAAAAAAAGAGAAAAAGAAAGACCAGAGTGCAGCTCAGGAGTAGTATGCTTGCCTAGTATGTGCAAGGCCCTGGGTTTGATCCCCAGTGCCACACACACACACACACACACACACACACACACACACACACATACACACACATGAAGACAGACCTGAGTTCTGGTTCACCATGTGATGCCCTTCTCCACTTCATGATCGGCAAGAAGGCCTCACCAGATGTTGACACCATATTCTTGGCCTTCCCGGTCCCCAGAACCCTGAACCCAAATAAGTTTCTGCTCTTCATCAGTTACCTGCTTTCAGATATTTCGTTACAGCATTGGAAAATGGAGTAAGATGTTGTGTGTCTACTGACACAGTGGATATCTACATGTCTGGGGTTGTGGTTATGAACCTGAAGTCTGAAGTAAAACTTTCTGGTTTGAATCTCAGATCTGTGTCCTCCCCACTTGTGTGACCTTGAGCAAATGACCTCTGTGAGCCTCATTTGTGAAACGGGAATAATAGCTTTGCCTGCTCCATAGAGTTATTGGGGTCAAAATGGGTCAATATAGATAAAATGCTTGTACTTCAGTTGCCCACGGTGAGTGCTTGATGAGCTGACTACAGTTCTCTGTTTGCAGAGCTGGACAGAGGCCTCACTGAGCCCCAGATTCAGGTCGTGTGCCGCCAGATGCTGGAAGCCCTCAACTTCCTGCATAGCAAGAAGATCATCCATCGAGACCTGAAGGCTGGCAATGTGCTGATGACCCTTGAGGGAGACATCAGACTTGGTAAGTGTGGCTACCAGGTGATGGGGTGGGAAAGGCAGAGCCACACAGTACCTGCCTGAGGAGTTGGCTGGGGAGGGAGCGGCCTGGCCCTTGCCATGAGAAGGAACTTGGGCTGGGTCCTTCCTCCCTTGGCCTGTGAGAGATGAACAGTCCTCTGCCCTCTAGCCCTGGACTGTGGGCCATCCCTCTCTGCTGACTCAGTGGTTCTCAACCTGGGTCACTTTGCCCTCTGGGGACATCTGACATTTGCAGACAATGTAGGGTGAGTGGAGGCCAGGGCTGCTGCAGCTAAGTGTCCTGCGGTGGAGAACAAGGCAGATACCCAGAAGTGTGTTGTGCTTCTCCCCACCGATGGTCAGATCCACAAATGTGGAACCCATGCGAAATAGTCAGAAGGCCAACAGTGTATCGGTCTTTTTTATCATTTCTTTTCTTGTGCTTTCAGTAAGTTCTTTAGCCTAAATGACACAGATGTACCCTCTGCTCCAACTGCCTCCTGTTGCTGTTCTCCCTGAGACATTCTCCTTGAACTGGCCTTATCTTTACTCTGCATTGTAATTAGGCCTTAGTGGTGCTTTTAGAGAGTCTGGAGGTTTGTCAGTGGATGAAACACAAATGCTTATTATATAAAACCTGTGTAGTACAGGTTAAAAGGAGAAAGCTGGAAAGTGCTTCTGGTCTCATCCGGAAAGGTCCACCAAATGGCCAGGTTGTCACCCCAGATGCCTGTGGGCTGGAAGGATGCGTAGAGGTGGAGACTTGAAGAGAATATCTGTCACAAGAGAGAGGTGCACTGATAGGTAAACAGTTCATCTGTCCTTCCATGTTCTCAGTCCCATCCTTCCAACACAGAACTGTCACTCTTGGTTCTTGCTCTAGTGACTGCCTCGATGTCTTTGCGGCACATTTTAATTATGTCCACAAAGAACTGTATCAGCATGGAGTCCTGTGAGTGCGAACCTCAGGGGTCGTAATGTGGGTGGGAATGGAAAAGCACATCATCAATGAAAGCCGCCCTGTGTAGTGGGAGGGCAGCTTGAAGCATCTCTGCTGTGTGGGCCTGAGAGGGTGGGCCCTTGCTCTGGGTCACAGAACTGGCAAGGACAGAGCCAGGGCTGAACCCTAGGGCTGCTGGCCGAGGAGCAGGTGCTGGTTCGGGGAGTGTCAGAGACGGGAGTTCTGTTTCCTGACCTGGGCCTGGGAGTTGGGAGTGCAAAAGAAACTGTGTGTGAGAGGAAAGCGTGGAGTGGGTAGTAAAGATGGTTAGGTATTTGCCAGATAGATAGACATGCCTGGGCAGGGTGATCCAGGAAGAAAGAATTGTGGATATAGGCATGGGATGAGAAATAGCAAGGTATCTGAGGAAGAATGATGATAAAAACAACTACACACATCTCCTGGGTCGATGAAGTCCCCATGGGTGTCAGGCATTAGACACGACACTTTGTATGTACCCTCTCAGTATCACACGGCAAGGAGCAATCGCAGGGGTAGGGACCATGCCCATTTTACAGGTGAGGATGCAGAGGTCTAGTGTGAACTGAGGCACCTGAGATCCTACTATGAGGTGGGAGAGCAGTTGAGTTTGGCTTTCCTGACTCCACAGATGCCAGAGGACAGCCCCATTCCTGATAGAGGGAATGGGCTGGGAGGGGCTAGATCAGGGAGTGCTAGGGGCAGAAGAGAGTCACGGGTGCTCTTGCAGAGTCACAGGGAACACTCAGCTCTAGTGAGAGATACAGATGCACACAGCCAGGGCCAGGACTGCTCCGAACCTGGTGGGCAGGTAGAGAATGCAGCCCCATGGCTGCCATCTGGGGCAAGCCCAGTGGGCTCCTCATCTTCTATGCCATTGCTCCTGCCTTGGCCCAGTTGCACCCTAAATCTGGAGGGTACTGGCGCACTGAGCACACTCATGAATCGCAGACTGGTGGTGGGGAGCGAGGCGGAGGGGCGCATTGAGATAGCCAGTTGAGAAAACCAGGAAGCCAGTTAAAGAAGAAAAGTTCAGGGAGAGTTGTATGAATATTCACACAATTCCTATGGGGCCCTGGGAACAGTGATGTGAACACCTGCCCTGCTCCCTGCTGAGCTTCAGTCTGTAGAATCAGGTAGCGGTGAAGCAGGCCTGGAAGGCTAAGTGGCATCTGTTGACCTCTTCCTACCTTCTCAGGACTGTCTTGGACCCTGGAGCTCCACCACTACCCCCATGTCCTTAGCTTGCTCAGGGCTGCCTAAGAGAAGTGCTCTGCAGGGCCGGGGATTTAGCTCAGTGATGCTGCTGCCTGCCTTGCACGTACAAGGTTCTGAGTTCGATCCCCGGGAACAAAAAGAAAAGGAAAAGAAAAGAAGTGCTCTGCAGATCTCATTAGAGACAGCCTGTGCTGCCCAGCTTTAGATCCTGCCCCTGCCACTTCTGCTCTGGGGTCTGCGGGTCATGTTTAGCCATTCAAGCCCCACTTCTTTCATCTGTACAATGGGTAGAACAATAGAACGCCTTGCAGAGCTATTAGGACAGTTGGGATCAAATAGAAAGTACTTGGAGGCAGAGGCATAGGGTCAGCCTCCTCTCTGCATCCAAGCATTTTGCTCCTTCCTCGTGTTAAATATTTACTTTTGTCTAGGATCTCCAGCTCCCTCTGGGATTCCTTTGACAGTTATCTGCTGTAGCACAAGCTGCAGTGCTGGGTGAGTAAGAAGTGAGTCTGGATTGATGGGTGAGAATCAGTGGTGCAGAGAGAGAAAGTGTGTCTGCTGACTGAGATGTAGGGTATTCATGGGCTATAGACTTTGAGTCTGAAGATCTGTCTTCTTGTCCTGGAACTGCCACTTCGCAAGTCACTTAAACTTTCTGAGCCTTGTTTTCCTCCACCTCTGAGTGCAGTGATCTCCTACCCCAGGAACTTGGTTGGATGACAATGAGACAAACATCTCGTGGGCACCTGACACACCCTAGAGGCCCAGCAAATTTGAAACTTCTTTCTTGGGCTGAGGAATGTCCCCAAAGAATTACTGTGAGGTGCAGTGTACGCACTGTCCAAGACACTGGAGTTCCTCACCCAGGTCCTTCTCATAAGATGGGAGGTGAATTTTACTTTGGATCTTTGAAGCTCCAGCACAGGTCTCAACTGGCCTAAAAATCCGAGCACCCAACTTGAACCTGGAACACAGGAGGTATTCAGTAATAAATCGTTAGCATTGCTTCTTCACTCCCTGACGACTCCAGGATCCCGAACCCTAAAGCCCTTGGCTCTGCGGGATGCCTGGGGGGCGTGGGTGAGTCAGGAGCCAGCCCCCCACCTCTCACCCCACCTGCCCCTGGCCCAGCATCCCTGGTTCTTGTCCCAGAACATTAGGATCCTAGTTCCCCTTTTCCAAAAGGAAGGTGTTCACAGCCCCCAGAGGCTGCCTGAAACCCCAGAAAGTACTAAACTGTATATATGTTGATTTTTCCTGTACATACTCTGTCTACCTCTGATAAAGTTTAACTTATAAATTAGACATAGTAAGAGATTAACAATAATGAATGATAAATAGAACCAACCCTTACAACAATGACCTATAATAAAAGCCATGAGAATGTGGTCTCTGTCTCTTGGAGGAGTCAAGGCCGATAGTTGATATTTCTGATTGACCATGGGTAACTAAAGCTATAGAAACTAAAATTACAGCACTCAGCAATGTTGGGTACGTATAGCCTCAACTCACTTAATCCTCAAAGGCCACCGATAGCATGCTATGGAAGAGGGATATGGGTACTAGGGAGGTTAATTCACTTGCTCAGTGTCACACAGCTGACAGGGAAGAACTGGGGTCCAAACCAGGACATCTGGCTCTGTCGTGCTTTTATTAAAGACTCTCAGTGCTAAACAGTAAAGACTCATCTTCTATGAAGGCCGACAGGAAAAGGTGAATAGCACAGAACGAAATCAAGTAAGAGAGATCCCTGGGCCTCATGATTCGTTGGAACCTAGAACACAACTGTTGCCAAGACTGTGGCTCTAGCGTCTGCCTTTCTGTGTGTTGGTTAGGCTCTCAGACCAGCACTTCTCCTGGAAGCTTCCGGTGAGATGTTCACCTGCTGGATGAACCGAAATCTTACCATTGGAGGTTTTAACATCAGTGATCTCAGTGAAGCATTCTGATTGGTCCAGCTAGGTTCACATGGAGATCCCTGGGCCAATGAATGATGCCCAATAAAGAGGTGTTCTCTGACAGGCTAAGTTTGTAGTCAGTCTGTCCTGGTTAGAGAGTGGAGTCAGGGAGTGAAGTAGAGGAAGCCACCTTCCCCTCCTGGGTTCCTCTCTTCCTGAGAGGAAGAGGATTGGAAGAAATTGTTGTCCACCTAACCTGGCACTGCCTGGGAGAATCATTCAGGCCCAGAAGAGGGGATAAGAGGGAGCCTCGGCAGACACACTGAGGTGGGAGGCAAGAACAGCAGCATATATTTGTGACTGAGATTGGGGTGTTGTGGAGATAAGAGAGTCTTGGAGCCAGTGACGGTGGGGAGCTGAAGATAAAGGGGAACAAATGGAAAAAACAATGTCAAGTCGCCACAGGTCTCTAGTTGCCTAAAACCTAAAGAGAATGAAAGGAACCTTATCTTGCCTTGCCAGGGCAATTCTTGGTCTCACAGCTGGATTCTGGGACACACTGTTAACAGATGAGGAAACGGGGATCGGTAGTGTGCTTGCCAGAACACTGGAGTCTTCTCACCTCCCTGCCTGGCTTGATTCCGTGACACCCCCAGGAAGGCAGCTCTGCCTTTCTCCTAATGAGCTCAGCGGGCGACTATGTTCAGAGGAAGGAAGCCCCTGGGACCCAGGCCCAAGGTCGCAGGCGCCTTGCTTTGTCCTCCCCACTCCAGGTTCATGGGTCTCAGCCCTCCCAGGGCTTGCTTCCTTATCTGTCTCCCGAGGGCACTGCTGGCATTTTGGAAGGGACAGTTTTCACCATGCAGGACTTGAGCATCCCGGGCTCTCACTTCCTGAGCGGTGGGA